TTGTTATGAAAAAAGTAAATAAAATTTTAAACTACTGGATATTCTGTAATTCATCTTGCGCAATTGGATCATACAGATATAAATAATAATGAAAAAGCTTATGGGGTCAAGCTATATAGATTTGGTTTTGGGATCATAATGGGACTATACAATCACCACATGGACGATTCCTTGTACATGAACCTAACTCTATTAATATCGCCCACAACACAATTTCATTGGTAGACGTATGCCTCATCGATCCAAGAAAAGATGAATTCTCTTATTTTATTTTATAAATACAAGAAGAAAATAACTACATGTGCAAATGTTCCCTTGCAAGGAAAACAAAGATGCAAATAATATGAGAAATAACTATAAAATGTGGGAGTTTGTTGTCACTATTTGAGGTATGTCCATGTGAAAGCCCTTCTCTTATCTTTCCGCAACTTGTGTATGTATTTGTAGTTTAGCTTTGCCACTTAGTCAAACAACATTACTAACATCAACATCAGCCATTAGTCCTCGATCCAGAAAAAAAAAACAATTCTACTTTCCCCTCAGCCCATTATTCCATTTCCGCATCTTATAATTTTTTTTTTCTTTTTTGAGAAAGGGCTTTTGTTGACCAAAAAAAAAGAGAAAGGGCTTTTAATTAGCATCTTATAATTTTGTATGATAATTTTACTTTGGAGAATAGATGATTATGGTTGTTGAACTGGTGCTTTAAAAATGTATGAATTGATACAGCAATTAATATATTGCTTCATTTCTTTCGAAAATGAAACTGAATTTCTTACATGCATGATGTTGTCAACTTCTTACATAAAAAAATCTTGATCTACTCGGTACTATTGGTGATAAATTCTGGACGCAAAGATGTAAGACAGTAACGTCATTACTTTTATAAACAATCTAAGATGATCCGAGCTCTGACACCTGAGTGAAGGATACGATTTTCAAGTTGTATGGCAAGGACCAAACCGGTGAACCAAATGATAATACAAATGAGACAGACTATTATCAAGTACTTATGAGCTATTCTAACCAAGAAAGTCAGCCCTTCGGATATTCAACTATGAAACGTATATTATCATATTAGTGTCGTATTATTCATATCTTTGGACGTGCAAAAAAATAATTATATGACAAAATATTAATGGTAATTCGATAATTAATAATTATAAAAATAATAATTGAAATGACGTATGTACCGTGGCTTTAAATGATAAAATCTATAGTAAATAATAACTGTAGGTTAATTTTTACAAGTTATGTTTATATTTATTATTATATGTTTGATTTGTTTCCAAATAACAGCTAAAATGGTTCCACATCCCAAAGGAATCCAGAAAGAAAAAGACATTCGAACATTGATGGATGCTATTGATTTGAACTTAGTTACATGTCGTAATAGAAACAAAAGTGTGTTATATATCCCTGCCACCTTAATTAGCTGGGCCATCATTGCTGAACTATTGAGATGATATGATGCTTAAAACGAGAAAATTGAACTTCAGTGTCCCAAGAACCGGTTTGATAAGTATGATCTTATACCGATTCGGTTTAGCTCTACTGAGTATCACAATTAGATAAATATGAAAAGAACAAGACGAGGGCGGGAAAAAGCCAAAGAGGATGAAGCCATGATAATGGTCGAAGTAACGAACATAAGTCACATGGAGGGTTATCTCCCAACATATTAATACGTCGCCGTCTACATGATAGTGATCATTCTTTTGTTCCTCCATACCTTCAGTTTAAATCTTCTTCTTTTTTAACGATCAAATTTTTACTGTTCCTCTTAGTTAATTTGGAATCATTTGTAAGTTCAGAGCTAAATTGAAAGAATGACCCGGGAATGTTTGGTTTTGAAATCTATAGCCTGATTTAACTTTTGATTTCTAGTTTTACATAACCATAATTAAGGGACACTAGAGATGAACCTAATGATTTACGTTATAATACTATTTATATTGATTTTTTTTTCGGGGTTTAAACTAAAAGCAAATTATAGTTTGGTTTGAATGTTCGGTCCAGTTCTCAAATTTGAAAATTCTTTGATCTGCCATGTCGCCGATTAAATTGGCTAGGGTGAATTAATATTCTTGTCTTCTAGGCAAGTCGTGCATCCTAAATCCATGCTCGTTTGAAACAACAAAAGATACATGTGTTTTGTATATAAACGTACATGATAACTAACGATACTTATAAAAGGCTTGTAGCTCTTTACATTTTAAGTAATACTGCTTAATGCATATATTGGCCCCATTTTTCTTAACATGTTTAAAACACTAATTCAACCGGTTTTGAAACAAGTTTTTTTCAAGAAACAACTTTTTTTTATTCCTAGAAGTTTTGGATATAAATTCTGAAAAAAAAAGTTTTGGATATAGTTTTTTGTATTAAAAAAGAAAGGAAAATTCTATATGCAATTATGCAATTATGTTTTGTTTTATATCTTTCCCAATGCTCGGTCAATGAAACATTACCTCTGTATTTACAGGTATGTAGAGAAGAACAGACAAAATAAAACTATAGGTAAGAAGAGTTAATTTGAAGCAGTGGTAATTTCGAAGGAGAGAAGAGTTAATCAAGTCACGTGCTCGCCTGCCCAATTTGCCTGCTCTCTCCATCTCCCCCTTCACGTGCTTTACCATTATTTCTCTTAATGTATCTCTCCCTCTTTCTCTTCATATTTACATCTATTCCACTCTATTTTTTACTACCATTTTCCTCCTTTTAACCATGCTTGTCATCTCTTACATCATCTTAAATTATCTTGGCCCTGTTATATAAGAAAAAAACAAAATATGATTAATATCAGAAAAACATTATACTCTGATCAAGTCAAATGTCAAACAGAATTATACAGCATCATCTGATTCATCAGAGAACACACAGCATATTATTTCAAAGTTTGTCTTAATCCCTTTATTAATTAAAACATTACTGTAAATTTGGAACTGTTCTAAGGTTCGCCAGTTGGGATATATTCCATTGCCTGTCAGGTTTTAATTATGTTTTAGATTTCTTCTTGTCCTATGCTACCATATTATTGGTAATGGTGATAATACACTGCTATTGTTGAACAACAATCATTATTATTATTTTTGCCAACATTTCATTTTGAGTTGTTTAACTATCATATAGTTTCTTTTCTGTGAAGATTTAACACGACATCAAAAAGGACAGAATCTTTCTGACCTACACTGTTATCTGTAAGAAAAAACACAACAATGACTATTTCTTCAAATCCAATTTAGATTTTTATAAAAATTATTGTCAATATCAATACTTTAAACAGCTAATGTTTATCTTCAAAAAAAATTGCTGAGAAGGATAATGAAAACAACTTAGCTATTCAGTCAAATAACATTTACTTCAGTGAATTGGAGAATTGCTACATGCCTACATTGAATTCAAATTCGAACAAGACATTTATTATATGTTTCAAAAAATTGTCAGAATTTTTATTTACCGGGAAACTACATAATTTCAAATATTTTAGTAGAAAACATATATTCAAATAATTCTAAAGACAAAATATTAAGTGTACTGTTTAAGACAGAGTCTATCAATACTTTCAGAGTTCCTAGAGATAATGATAATTTTTATCTATATCCCTGAAGTAGATATATTAGTAGATATACTATAAACTATCTACTTTATTAAAACAGAAATACCATTATAAAATATCTTTAAAACTTGTACATTATTTACCATCTAATGTCACTGAAAATTTAATTAAGTTAATGTTAAAAATATTTGTCTTTTTCACCTATTGAATAGTTTCCTAAAATAATGCCAACTAAATGCAATGTAGAAAACAAATAACTAATTAAATATACTTTAATTTAAATAACCTCATATTAATAACAAAAATCCATTTATGCTTATACATTCAGAACTATAGATATTTTCCAAGAATTTTCTATTTCTAATGAGATTAAATAAATTCTAATATATATCATAACATAATGGATATTTTCCAGGAATTTCTTATTTCAATGGAAATTAAGTAAATTCTAATATATATCATAACACAACATTAAAAATAACACTAATCAAATCTTAGCTTCTTCTTTGACCATATTTTAATAAATAAATTATTTTTCTTACATAATAACATACTAGCTATTAAAAATAAGAAATATGTTTTTTGAAAAATATATAAAAAATATTTAAATTTAGTTTTCTTTATCGTTATTTTTATTTCACATACAAAAAAAAATATTAGAGTATTTAAATTTTTTGTGACAAGCTAGAAATTATAACATATTAAAAATATCAAGAACTAAAATTCATTAATATTTTTATATATAATGTGAATGAAAAATTATATTCTAAATCTAAAATAACCCAAAGTATTAAATTTTAATTAGTTCTCCATCATCATTAATTTTTTTCGGGGGCATAGTGAAATCTCACCAATCTAAAAACGACAAATAAAAATCAAAATTACAGAAGTCAATTGTATGTAAGATTCACAATAAACAAAAAAAAAAATCAAACAACATAAAAAATCGAAAGACAAACAAAGTTAAAAGTAGAAAAACATGATTGTAAAACAACAACAAAAAAATCTAATTTTTAATATAGAATGCAAAAAGAAATTTATTAACATAGTTACAAAAAACTAAGGAAAAAAACTAGAATTTTTTTACAGGATAGATCAACTAGTGGTTGAAAAGATAGTCGGATTCTGAATTTTAACGGGGTTTTTCAATTTTTATTAGGTCTTTATATTAACAATTTTTTTCTAAACTTCAAGCCAGATTTACCGGTTTAATATCAGGTCCGGTCAATTTTCATAACACTGGTCATATTGCAACTACTATATAATACAAATATAACATGTAATACAAATAAATTTTTTGAAAATTTAAAATAAATATATGCGGATCAAGACCTAGTTATCAAATAAAATTTTCATGGACATTAATATGTGATTAGTATAGATAATTACTGCTACAAGATAATAAACTTTTCATAACTAAAAAGCAAGATTCTCAATAGATAATTACTGCTATAATTTACATAACTAAAAGCAAGATTCTGATAATAGTAAAAATATTTATTTAATTAAATTTTCACCACTTCCCTCTCTCTCTCTAGATAGCATTTAAAACCCCACATTAGCCAACAGTCTATCTATATACGCAGAATCATAGTCTCGATCTGCCGCCATATTCAACCAGTTTCACATTTAATGTGAACACGTTCTCCTTCCTCACACATCCTCAAGACTCAAAACACACACAACAACAAGACTCCCTCAACAAAATGTCTATTCACGGACGCTTCCCGGCGAGTCCACCGGTCTCTTCATCTCCCTCCTCTTCCTCCTCCTCCTCATCACCAACCTCTCACTCCCCTTCCCCTCCTGATCTCAAACAACGTGTCATCGCCTGTCTCAACAAGCTCGCCGACCGTGACACCTTATCTCTCGCCACCGCGGAGCTAGACTCCATCGCAAGAAGCCTCACTCACGACTCCTTCTCCTCTTTCCTCACCTGCATCCACAACACTGACTCCTCCTCTAAATCCCCCGTCAGGAAACACTCCGTCGCCGTCTTATCTCTCATGTCCCGCCACCACGGCGACTCCCTCTCCCCTCACCTCGCCAAGATGGTCTCCACCGTCATCCGCCGTCTCCGGGATCCCGACTCCTCCGTCCGCTCCGCCTGCGCCGCCGCGACCGCCGATATCTCGGCTCACGTCACGACGCACCCGTTCGCCTCCGTCGCGAAGCCGCTCATAGAGACGTTGATCCAGGAAGGGGACTCCAACGCGCAGATCGGAGCGGCGGTGTGTTTGGCGGCGGCGGTGGAAGCTGCGGCGGAGCCGGAGTCGGAGCAGTTGAGGAGGTCTCTTCCCAAGATCGGGAAGCTGCTGAAGAGTGATGCTTTCAAGGCAAAGGCGGCGCTTTTGAGCGCGGTGGGGAGTATTATTACCGCGGGAGGGGCCGGGACTAAACCGGTTTTGGATTGGTTGGTTCCGGTTTTGATTGAGTTTCTGAGCAGTGAAGATTGGGCGGCGAGGAAATCGGCTGCGGAGGCGTTGGGGAAGGTTGCCACGGATGAGGAGTTGGCGTCGCAGTACAAGAAAGTTTCCACGGCGGCTCTTGAGAGCAGAAGGTTTGATAAGGTAAACTAACACAAAGATTAAGATGTTTTGTTTTTTTGTCTTAATAGTAAAAGAAGTAAATCTAAATCCATCGATAATTTAGGTGAAAGGTGTTAGAGAGACTATGAATCGAGCATTGAGTCAGTGGAAAGAAGTCTCTAGTGATGTAGATGAAGTCTTGTTGTCTCCTTCTAGATCTTCCACTGGTATGTTATTAATGTTACATTGTCTGAAAAATTCAGTTTTTAGTTTAAGATTTGATTTTTGAAAAAAAAATATAAATGGTAATCAGATGATGGTGGCATTGGATGCTTTTCATCAGTCACGAGAAGTGCAAGCGTTGATGTTGGTTTTAAGTCTTCAAGACCAAAGAAAGCAACGTCTATAATGAAGAGGTCCCCATCTTTACCTGTGAGTAGATCATATGGAACAACTAGACAACAAAAGGAGAATCTTCCTAAAAGGAATGTGACCATGTTAGCAGCTTCTATTGTGGATGATAAGAAGGGACCACAGGTAAAGCAATCTTTGGAAGATCGGAGTAGTGAAAGGGTTGAATCGAAGGAAGATGAGGCCAACTCAGGGGAAGCAGATGTAATCAAACATACTATCTCTGAGAAAAGCAGGGGAGATAAAAGGTCTGCCTCAAGGGTTGCACCATGCAGTGACGATGGTGATGATTCTTGCGTCCCTGTTGTCAAGAATGGTAAAGATGATGGTGGTGAGAGCAGGAAAGACAGCGAGGAACTGTCTTTGATACGTGAACAGCTTGCTATGATTGAGAACCAGCAGTCCAGTCTCTTAGACCTACTCCAGGTAAAATACCTTAATGTAGATGAAATGTTTGGTTATGATTGTTATATAGATGGCTTGATCCTCACTGAAATAAAGAAATTGATTTTTGGATGTAGAAATTCATGGGAAGCTCACAGAGTGGGATCCAGTCTTTGGAGTCTCGAGTAAGCGGTTTAGAGATGGCTTTGGATGAAATATCATGCGATCTTGCGGTTTCAAATGGGAGAGTCCCTAAGAATAGTAACTGTGGAGGAGAGAGTTGTTCAAAACTAGCTGGTACAGAGTTCTTAAGTCCAAAGTTCTGGAGAAAAACCGAGGAGAGACCAATTCAGACACGGACCAGAAACACAGCCAGTGAAATGGCTGAGCAGGAGAACAGTTTTGACCAGGGGATAACGACAAATGTGAACAGCGTTGGCCCAAGGGGAGGTGGTTCTGTTTATCAGAAGAGATCAGCAAGAAACCAGTTCCAAGACTCTATGCATACAACCACCAGGTAAAACCCATCTTTTAGTGAAGAAATATAATCTTTGATTTGCTCAGTGGTTCTGCTTGTTAAACTTGATTTTAAAGGTCTGCTTTTATTTTATTTTATTTTCAGATTATCTACTTGAGTGATTCTATTTTTTTTACTGGGAAAGAGGGTGATGTGAGGATTGAAGCACACAGTAGAAGCTGACCAGACTGACTCAGACGAATGTAAAAGCCAAATCTCAGATTCGATGCTTTGCTTCAAGCCTATTTGAATTTTTAACTCTCTCACTCACATGTCTTAGTAAGCTTTTTCTCTTTTAGAAAAAACAATCAAATAATTTAATCAGTGGGGGAGTTTCAAAGATTGAATGCATGTGAATAGAAATGATATTTTTATGTGATGTGTCATTGGAGTTATGTCAAAACCATGGATGGAGAGAGATGTAAAGATTTGTTTGACTCTTTGGTGCTACTCTTGATCTGTATATCTTTTGAAACAATGAATTATTGGTTGCCATATAAAGAATCAGGGCAATACAGTCGTACAGAGATGACTTCACTTCACTTCAAACAATCCATCTGTTTGATTCAAAAACCAATTGTCCGGAAAGTAATTTTTTTTCTTAGAAATCACAATGTTTTAACATTACAAAATAGAGATTAAACTCGGGACATAAGAAAGAGCGTATGCGTGCGTTGACTTTACATTTGTAAGGTAGGTCATAACATTTAGTTCTGAGAACAAGTGCTACCAATGGTCCTTCCCAAGATTCACCATCGTAAAACAGTAACTTGTCCCTCTCCAAAACTGATAGTGGTGTCAGTAACATCAATGAGTAATTCCTAAGCCGAGAAGATGCTATGTTGAGATTTATTGAATATATTTTCTTCCACGTCTTGTCTTCTGAATCAAACGACCATATCAAACGACCATGCTCGGGCCAAATTCGCTCATACACGCACAAACGATCATGAAGACTGCACATGATATTCGTTATAAGCTGCAAGCCGTGGAGAAAGGGAGGTTCAGGAATGACTTGAAAAGTTTCGGTGTGAAGATCCAAAGACAAAACATTGGTTTCATCACCCTTAGTGAGACAATGAAGTGACCCATCACAAGACACAGGAGCTTGGCTGTGATAAATCAGATAGGTGGAGGCAGGGACAACGTACCTCCAAGCATTTGTGGTAAAATCCAAAACTTCACAAGTAGTAGTGCTTTTGTTCTTTTAGACCTATTTCAGCAGAATTGTATAACCAGACTGGTTTGTTTGTCCCATTGATCTTGTCTTTACCAAATCCAGGAGAAGGTGATGCATGCCATTGTATGATTCTATCAAAAGACGCAATTTGATAGTTGCATGGAGAAATAGTTCGATGCCAACGAGTGGTGGGATTGACCACAATACTAGGACCATAGAGATCGTAGAGGCATATCAAACCGTCAAAGCTAGTGTTGCAAACCTGGTATAACTTGTTATCCCAAGTAGTAGGAATCCTGACAGACAATGTTGAGCCCACCACCAACGTTCTAAGAGCTTCAAAGCCATGATTACCATATAAGGACACAAAAACGACATCTGTTTTTCCTAATTGCTTGCGATGGAGCATCTGTCTTATTTGGAAAGAAAGGCATCAGGTGATAGGTGATTTCCATTGCTTCGATACCGTCGTGAACTTGAGAAGCGTTTTCACGTCAAGTCTCTCTAGAATACACTCGTCCTACGTTTTAGGAAACATTGATTAAGACTTGTCTTTGTTAATGTAGATGAGGCGACAAAATACATAGTGCAGAAGGTAAAACACATCAAATTTGTTAACGGGGTTCGTTTCCTACATCTCTGGGACCCAATCCAGATTTTATTGACTTAGAATAAGAAGCAACCTACAATTGCTATATGGTACAACACACACACTAGTGTTTATCACTCTTTTCTAAGAAGCAATCTACAAAGATTAGGTATCAGCACTCATGCATACAACACCATCTGGGCGCGCCAGAGCACACTGTCTTCTACAGCTGCAATCTTCACAGACCTCTTTAATAAAACCGCATTTGCTAAACTTCCCCTGAGTCTAGGCTTCAATCTTCCACATCTCGGAAGTACTTCACCATGTACGTCAACACCCAACGCACACCAATGACACCAAACGCTTGATCACCCAAGCACACACAAAGCTCACCACGAGCTACACACAATGGAAACTCCACCACACAAAACGCCAACTCTAACGCCACCAAACTAAGTCCACATCGGACTCCATCAAGAACTGCTTCAGACACTACTTCGACACCAAGCAGTAACACACACCAATATACAATGAAACGCCTCTTTCTTTTCTGTGAGGTCTGCCTTTCTCATAAGGCACGTCCCTCCTTATATAGCAGACCAGAACTTGCTCTCCACGTCTTGAACTTTCTCTTCAAGTCTTCCAAATACACTTAATGCAACTTTCCATATCTTTAATGGAAAACTTCATTTTCAAGCAAACTCTCTTTTGCTTAATGGAAAACGTCCATATGTCTTTAAGTACATATCTTCTTTCCTTTTCCAAGCTTAGCAAGCCCACGCTCATCACGAACCACGAACTCCAGCATAGCCCATCTTCATGACACACACATGTACTACCTCCTGTAGTACTTCACGAACTAACACAAAACATCTCATCAAACTGCATCTTCAGTCTTAGCCTCCAAGTCTTGAGTCTGTATATATAACATTGTGTAGCCTCATTGAATTAATAAGATCGATACTTTACTTTCACTATCTCTCAAAGATGAAAGAGAAAAGACAAGATATATGCTTATTTATAAGAAATCATATAAGCAAGCCCAAATTCAATAAGGAATTCGAGAAAAAGAAAGGTAATGTTGATGTAAGATGTCCGCCCTGAAGTAGTCGCTGAGATAGTTGTTGAAGCAGATGTTGTGTTGAGTGGTGAAAATCATGTGGAGTCAAGATGGTGAACTGGAGTCGTGTAGACTTGGAGAGCAATGGTGTATCTTGGGGAAAATGCAAGAGAAATAAACTTGAGGAGCAAGAGAAATAAACTTGAGGAGCAAGTTTATGACTTAAAGAAAGATGAATAAGTGCATTTCAGGAAAATGAAAGTTACACTTAATATTATGGAAGATGTTCATATTGTGTTCCTTGGAGACTAGGGTTTCGGGAACGTGGAGAATAAGTATAAGATAGAAATGGATTCATCTGTAGAGAGACACATAGTCTGATCTTATAGAGAGAGAGAAGCTCTTAAGGTGTTCTTGGGTCGTGCTGAATCAGAGGCTGAAGTACTTGACGGCAGAGAGACATAAGTGAGTAGCTTAGGAATCTTTCAGTGACGTGCGTTAGAGTGTTAACACTAGACGTGTAAAGCTGATTAAGCAGATCTTGTAATAGAGTGTACAAGACGATTTCTAATAAAGCTATTGGTGTTTTGTCTCTTGGTTTACCTTATGTACTATTTTATTGTGGTGTCATCTTTGCACTTACAAGTGGTATTAGAGCGGGGCACCTAAGTTATCGGCGTAATCCTGAAGGTGAAGATGGACACGATTATTTCGGTGCAGAAGGCAATCGTGTTGAACGCGGACCAGTATGGTCATTGGAAGGCTCGCACGAAGCAGATGATTCAAGGAATCAATGAAGATGCGTGGACAGCTGTGGAGAGTGGTTGGGAGGAGCCTACCATAGTCACAGGAGATGAGAAGAAGCCCAAACCAAAAGAAGATTGGTCAGAGGCAGAGCGCAATGCATCAAAATATAATGCAAAGGCGTTGTCAGTGATTTTTGGAGCCATTGAAGCAGATCAGTTCCAGTTGATTCAGGGGAGTACTTCAGCTAAAGAGGTGTGGGAAATCCTGCTGAATTCGTTTGAGAGAGATGAGTGTGTCAAGAGGACACGCCTAGATCATCTTGGGTCGCAGTTTGAGAATCTCAGATGGTCTATTGTTGATTCTGTGGCGAGCTTTAGTGTCAAACTTAGTGCTATGGCACATGAAGCATTTGTACTTGGGAAGAAGTAGAAGGAGAAGAAGCTGGTAAAGAAGTTACTACGCTGTCTTCCAAAGAAGTTTGAAGCTCACAAGGCGGTCTTGCAGATGACTACAAACACGGATGAGCTCAAGTTTGATAAGCTTGTGGGTATGCTGAAGGCACAAGAGATGGAGACAGACATTAGTTCAGTCTCTACGTCAAGCAGTGCGCCAGGGAGTATAGCGGTTGCAGCTGACAAAGATGGTGATAGATTCCAGAAGCTTGAAGATATTGTGGGTATGTTGGCTAGGAATTTTGGTAGGACGAGTCACTCTGGTGGGAGGAATCAGTATGGTCGTCAAGGAGGTGATCGTGGCAATGGTTCAAGAAGAGACTCTATCAAGTGCTACGAGTGTGAAGGAGTTGGTCATGTGAGGGCTGACTGTCCTATGGCACAACGAAAGGAACTTAAGGGTTCTGAGTGCAGAGGTGTTGGACACACAAGGCGCGAATGTCCAAAATCAAAAAAGGGAAAATGAGCTCAGTCGTCTGATGATTCAGAGTCTGAAGAAGATGAAAAGGTGTTGAAGAACATGGTTGTATTCGATGCACGCAAGGAGGGATCTAGTGAATCTTCAAATTCAGATCGATGTACAAATGATGAGGAGTATCATGTGCTGTTCAACAAGTGGTTGAGGGTCAGGGATCAGAATCTGAAATTGGAGAGTGTGGCTGAGAAGCAAACCAAGTTGCTTGAAGAACTTGCGTCTGTAAAAGAGAAGAATGAGTCTCTTGAGCAAGAGAATTGGAAGCTTCGAGGAGCTATGAGTACTGGCGTACAACAGAAGGGGCGGTCACAGTTCGTGCGAGGGAGCACTTCAAAAAGTGAAGCCAAAGATGTTTGTCAGAAAGTACGTCGGGACGTACGACAAGGAGTACGCAGGAAGTTCTTCAGCGCGTGGCTGTGAGTATCAAGCCGAAAGTGGTACATCAATACATCAAAATGAATGTGAGACAGGAGGTTCTGAAGCATGGTTGTGCATCTGTTACAAGGAAGGAGACTGATCGGTGCATCATCAACTGTGTCAGGCCCAAGAAAAAGCAACATAGGATGTGATGTTGGTTCTGTGGGAAGGTTGAACACAAGAAGGTGGAGTGTTTTTCTCGTGAGAAGAGCATAAACATGGCCAAGAAGGTGAACAAGACGTTCATTAAACCCAAGAGGGTTGAAGATGTGTTCTTAGCCAAGAGTGGCTTACTTGATGAGGTCAAGGAAGGGACATCAGATGAAGGATGCAGCTCTGGTAGGAGTGATCTTGAGGAATATCAAGAAGCATAAGTACGTAGTCAGGACACAGAATTGTCTGTGACACAAAGGGGAAGAAGATCGAAGTGCGTTAGGAAGTGATGTGATGATCTTCAGGAGGGTGATAGTGAAATCACTCCAAGACAATAGCAACGAGTGCAGAGAGCACTCGGTGTGGATGAGGAGGGGCTCATGGTCAAGGAGACGATGCATGAAGGAAGTCAAGTCCTCAACAGAAGTGGGTCGAAAGGTAGTTCGACAGGTGCGTCAGATCGTGATGCAGTACTTGTTATTCCGCTGCAGCAGGGGATGTGTCATGATTATACATGAAAATACAAACGTGTGTGTCTGTAGGCTTGACATCTAAGTATCTATGTTTTAGCTTAGTATGCAATCAAGCAGGGGGAGAAGTGGTGACGTTCTTGTCCAAGGAGTGCATATCTCATAGGGGAGAAGAGCATGGTGATGGACGTCCTGAAGTAGATGGTGCTTATCTCATGGGGGAGAAAAGCATGGTGTGGTGCACATCTCGTGGGGGAGAAAAGCACAATTAGCATGGAAGTTTCCAGATGGGGAACGTGGTTGTTGAACCAGAAGAACGTTGTGCTTGATGAGCACACAAAGCTAAAAGAGGGAGATTGTTGATGTAAGATGTCCGCCCTGAAGTAGTCGCTGGGGTAGTTGCTGAAGCAGACATCGTGTTTAGTGGTGAAAACCATGTGGAGTCAAGATGATGAGCTGGAGTCGTGTAGACTTGGAGAGCAAGGGTGTATCTTGGAGAAAAGGCAAGAAGAATAAACTTGAGGAGCAAGTTTATGACTTAAAGAAAGAGGAATAAATGCATTTTAGGAAAAGGAAAGTTGCACTTAATGTATGAAAAATGTTTATATTGTGTTCCTTGGAGACTAGGGTTTCGGGAATGTGGAAAATAAGTATAAGATAGCAATGTGGTCGTCTGTAGAGAGACAGAGACACATAGACTGATCTTATAGAGAGATAAGCTCTTAAGGTGTTCTTGGGTCGTGCTGGAGTAGAGGCTGAAGTACTTGACGGCAGAGAGACAAAAGTGAGTAGCTTAGGAATCTTTCGGTGATGTGTGTTAGGGTGTTAATATTAGACGTGTAAAGCTGATCAAACAGATCTTGTAATAGAGTGTATAAGACGATTTCTAATAAAGCTATCGATATTTTATCTCTTGATTTACCTTCTGTACTATCTTATTGTGGTGTAATCTTTGCACTTACGAGTAAGGGAATCACAATTTATTTGTTAATTTTATAAATATGAAATCTAAAATTTTGATAACATAAGCACGGATTCAACGATAA